AATTTATATTTAAGTTTGGACAGTTTTTAAGAAATTAGTAAAAAATAATTTTTGCACAAACATAACCTTACTATCAACCATTTTTATATTTGAATTGCCTAAAAAACGCCGACAACTGCATTTTAAACAACAAAATAAAATCATGGCAACATAATATTATATATACTACAAAATATAATTGTATTTTACCGTTGAGTGGAGACTTTCTTAATCAACGCTTTTAATAATGCTAAATGCTGTTTAAATTTAGACGACTTATTTGTTTGGCTATTTTTACTGAATTGAAATGTTTAACATTTTCACGTTAATCAATACTAAAATGTGTATTTTTTGGATCTAATAGGTACAATTTATATTTACAGAAACTATGCAGTTTATTTCTTCATTCAGTTTAACACTGTTTATTGGAAAACCGGTAAAAACTCAACCCAGGATTTCCTCTCGAAATACACCCAACAACATAACAAATCGAGCCATGGTTTTTTTTCCGATATTTTTTAACATTTTCCGGCTTTAAGCTTAATTTTCATGTATCCGTTTGTCCTTTAGTCCGTTCATCCGGGAGCGCTCTTATTGGTCCAATTGCAATTGGAAAATTATGACATTTTATCGGTCCGTCAAGTTTCAACTTCGTACGTCTGACAGAGAAAGGTTAAATAATTTTAACTCATCCGTCACTACACATCTGTTTTTGACGTTATTTGAACATTATTTATTTTTAATTTTTTTTATATTTTTTCAGTAAGATTGTAGAACGGAAATATTACGTTCGTTATGTGAATAATGTTCTACGGTTATGTTGTTATTTAAGAATAACAGAAAAAAGAAAAGACAAACAAAAAAATTCAAACTAGAACTAAAAGGACCTGTTTTTTTAAAACTATACATTTTAATGTACATTAAGGCTAGTATATTCTTTTTATATGGTATATTTACCTACCTTTAAATTTTTTAGACACACTGAGAAAATTCCAATCTTAAATTATCTTAATGAAATTATCTACAGTGTTCAAAATATATCTAATAACCAGTACAAATTATCTATCTGTGACATGAAGACGAATTAAGGTGACTAATAGATACGTTTTAATAAACGTTAAAAATATAGGGAAAAAACCGTGGAGCGATTTGTTTTGTTATTGGTTGTTTTTCGAAAGGAAATCCTGGGTTGAGTTTTTACCGATTTCCCAATAGACAGTGGAATTGCGAATGAAGAAATAAATTGCATACAATCCCTGTAAATATAAATTGTAAATATTAAATATATTTGTATACAATATGTAAATACACATTTTAATAATGATTTAGGTAAAAATTGTAAACATTTCAATTCAGTAAAAATCATAAAACAAATAAGTCGTAAATTTAGCATTATTAAATGCGTTGATTAACAATAAAATACCGGTATTATATTAAATAAAAAAATAATAGTTATTTATGTATTAAGGGCATAATAAGGTTTTTATGGCCCGAGGCGCTATTTCGAGCCCGAGCGCGTTAGCGCGAGGGCTAGAAAAGCGTCGTAGGACCATAAAAACCAGTTATGCCAGCAATGCATACAAAACTTTATGCACGATTAATATATTATTATTTTTAATATATTATTGTTTTTAAAGACGTTTACGTCAAAGAATTTTTGTTATAATTGTCATATTATAATGTCAACTGACATCAGTCAGTTTTAAAGTTTAAAGATGAATGAAATTAAGGAAGCAGCTGAAAAGGCGAACAATTTCGGCCTGCTGCCGGAAAAATCAAAATCTTTATACGAAAAAACTTACTTTGAATATATCAAATGGTGTAACATTGTTGTTTTTAATTTTTGACGTTTCATTATAGCCCGCTGGGTCATAATAACGCCCGCGGGCTATAAAAAGACGTTTACGTCAAAGAATTTTTGTTATAATTGTCATATTATAATGTCATTGTGCATAAATATCTTTATTGACGGATTAACCATTAGATATAAACAAAAGTGATCATTACAATTTTACATTAAAGACCTTTTAAAGGACTGGAGAGTATTGCCAAAGAAATCTACATTTAAAGTATTTGCATTTCTGCACATCCTATTTAATGGTGCATAATAACCATAGTTTGTATTGTGGTGACATTACTGAGGCACTTAAAAATTAATTCTGCCAACAATTCAGAGCTATCTATAATCCCATTTAAAAGTTTAAATAGGAAATACATATCAAATTTATCCCTTCTTTTTCTTAGGGTATCAACATTAATCAAGTGTCTCAATTGTACATAATCATAGTCATCAACAATTAAATTTAATTTAAATGCACAAAATCTTAAAAATTTATTTTGTACTCTGTCCATTTGCATACAATAAGTTAAGTAGTGAGGAGACCATACTACACAACCATGGTATAACTTAAAAGATTTTAATGATGTGATGTGTATAAAAAATGTGTATTTTTCATTTGTTCGAAGTATTTTGGAATATGCATATTCCAAAATACACATCACATCATTAAAATATTTTAAGTTCCGTTTAACAAAACCTAACATTTTTTATCTACTCCCCCATTGATAAGCTGTGACTTTATGGCGTTTTAGTCACGGGCTGAAGTTAGCAAGTGGCCTTTCGTCATTTTAGTCACGGGCTGAAGTTAGCTTTAATATTAATTGGGAAAAAGTGAGGTTAAATCCGTTGACAGTTGACGGATGTCAAATGTTTAACAAATAAAATTGGCTTTAAAATCTTATTTATGTTCGTCGGAGATAAAGTATAGTATGCAACTCGTTTTATAAACTTCTTTAGACACTCGTTTTTATTAAAAACTCGCTCGCAAGCGTCGCTCGTTCTTAATTAAACTCGCAACTAAAATGGCTACATTGTACAAAATGCTCCTACATTTACTAGCTGTGACTTTATGGCGTTTTAGTCACGGGCTGAAGTTTGCAATAGTGGCTTTTGGGCATTTTAGTCACAGGCTGAAGTTAGCTTCATTATAAATTAGAGAAAAGTGAGGTTAATTTGACAGATGTCAAAAGTTTAACAAATAAAATTGGATTTAAATTCTTCTTTGTGGTCGTCGTAGATAAAGTATAGTATGCAACTCGTTTTATAAACTTATATAGACACTCGTTTTTATTAAACACTCGCTTGAAAGCTTCGCTCGTGCTTAATAAAACTCGTAACTAAAATGGCGTTTATAAAACATAATATATATTAGACTGGGCCAAAAAAATCAACTATTTTTTTTTTTGAAAAGTATATCGAAAATATGGTTTGGGGTGACAAAAAAAAATTATTGTGAAAGTTTGAGTCAATATTATTAATATTAAGAGGTCTATCATCGCAATTTTAGGTTTTTTTTTCCTGAGCGAGTTTTTGTCTCAGAACTCCCAAAAAATTGAGTTTAACAAAATTGACTTAAGAATATTTTTTGAAGAAAATTGAATGTTCTACAAAAAAGGTTAAATTGGAATTTCCCGTCAGATGAACCGTTTTCTTACAATCATGCCTTAAAAATTGATTTAGTTTTACAATTTGATCTTTTAACTTTGGAATTTTGTAATTAATGTAAAAATCAGTACCCTGAAAAAAAAACGATAAATATTCTTATGGAAAATCAAATGCTCTACAAAAAAAGTCTTTTATCATTTTTGGCTAAATTCACTCAATCAAAAGTTATTCAAGGTTAAATTTGAACTCAAAACGAAATTTTAACCCTGAATAACTTTTGATTGAGTGAATTCAGCCAAAAATGTTGAGAGGCTTTTTTTGTAAAGCATTTGATTTCCCATAAGAATATTTATCGGTTTTTTATGGGTACTGATTTTTACATCAATTACAAAATTCCAATTTAAAAGATCAAAATGTAAAAGTATACCAATTTTTAAAGCATGATTTTAAGGAAACGGTCCATCTGACGGAAAATTTCACTTTAACCTTTTTTGTAGAGCATTAAATTTTCTTAAAAAAATATTTTTGAGCCAATTTTGTTAAACTCAATGGTTTGGGAGTTCTGAGACAAAAACTTGCTGAGGAAAAAAAAATTAAAATTGCGATGATAGACTTCTTAATATTAATAATATGGACTCAAACTTTCACAATAATTTTTTTTTGTCACCCCAAACCATATTTTCGATATACTTTTCAAAAAAAAAAATAGTTGTTTTTTTTGGCCCAGTCTAATATATATAGTAGTATATACTATAAAGCTCTATTACTTATAATATTTATATGTTCGTTAAACGTAACCTTAGTATCAAAATAAACACCCAGATACTTAATTACATTTACATTTTCTAAAATAACATCATTAATACTACAATAAGAAAAATTTATTTTATTTTTTATCCTAAAAAAATTTATTACTTTGCATTTTATAATATTATGTATTACATATATTCATGGCAACATAATATTATATATATAATATTATGTTGCCATGAATTCGTAGGTATATTTTGTCCTTTAACTTAAATATAAATATTAAGTAAGTTATCATTAGTTAATTCTGCACCGATAAATTTACGTACCATATTGGATCCTTTGGCAAAACATGAAAATGCAACGATTTAGTTTTATTTTATTTAGAATTTTAGAAATCAACCATTAAACCAAAGTTTTTTAGTTTTTACTTGCAACGCAAAACACAAATATCGTGCGCAATTTAGCTGTGCAATTGAATAAAATTTGTCGTGTAAGACTTCTTGCCTTTCCCTCTTTTGTGAAAAAACTACTTATTTATTTAAAAATGATGTGCACTATGCTTTAAGTGTATTGTTAACAAGAATTATTCTTGAATTTACACAATGCCATCGAACACCACCAGATGGCGGGCGCATTGCGAAAACCCGATGCTTCCTTAGCGATACAAAGAACGTTGAAGAAATCCTACTAAATCCTTCTTTAACTAAATGTCAAAAATCGATAAATCCAGGTTTGGGACCAAAAGTCCTTCATATTTGTTTTTTTAATTTATCGGCTTTTTTATTATACATTTTTAATTTTACATTTTAACCTTGTTTTTTAGCTGTGTTGCCAGTTTACTCTAGCCGTGTCCCTCCTATAGTATGGTCATGTATAGCTATACAAAACAATTTTCTTTTGTTTTATTTGACAATAAAATTCAGAAATGAAATGGAAAATCCTTTGGAGGAGCCACTGGTTGAAGAAACATGATTTCAACACCTCATGCTATGTTTATTAATAGATCTGTATAGGAAAATTGTGCACCCTACGGGATAGGCGAAAGTTTAAAAAAAATATATGGATACTTTTTAAGATATATTCGGTTTTAATTTGTTCTTTATTGTAATGTTTAATGACTATTTATATTATCTTATATTAAATGTATTATACTATAATATATTATAGTCAATTTATTATATAAAAATAATTCATCAAAACCTTCCCTATCGCATGGTGTGGAGTTAATGCGCCAATTTTTTGACATGCTATATATCTGCAATGTTCTATTTGAATACTTAAATCTATTTACATATTTTTTTGTAAAATTATATATCTATATGGGTTTAATTTAATTATATATTATTTTTTTCTGAACAATGCATGGTCAGTACATTTTGCACTTTGTACAAATAAATTATTATATTCACGAGTACTAAAAATGAAACAGTGGATTTTCACTGATTGACAGTGCATATTAACTATTTGCCGCAGTGATAAGTATACCACTAGCAATTAGTGAATACTCACTTTTTCATGTAGCGATTTCTTTGCACTAATTTATTTAGTGGAAATTACACTTTACAAATTAGTGAAATAGGTTTAGTTCAACAAAGTTAAAATTTCACTATTTTATGTCGAGAGTTCCGGAAAAGTAGTGATAATAAAAAATACTAATTTGGAGAAGTTAAAATTTCACTAATTTATATTGAAAAACACTAATTTTACAGGGAATATATAATAACTCACTGACGGAATTAGTGAAAATTTCACTGTTTCACTTAAAGAGAGTATTTATGCTTACTTTTTTATTATTGCTTATATTCATTATTGTCCATTCTATGTTTAGAAAAATGGATAATAATATTGCTGTTGGTAAAATGTTCCAATTATTTGATATTGAAGATGCAATAAATCGATATGAAAAAGAACATGCTATTCAACTAACTCAAAAAGATTTAAAAACATGTCCAGTCGTTGTTTTGGCAAGTGTGTCTCAGTTGTGATTATGTTTTTTCAATCTCAGAAATATCCTAGGATTGGCCATCCTCATTAAATGGCCTGGACATTTTGTATTTTTCCCACCCTATATGCATGTTATAGTATAAGTATACTTTTATTGCAATTTTCTATTCGTCATTTTTTTCTTGCACTTAAAAAAGTTTTTAAATCTCTTCCAGTTAGTTGAATAGCGTGTTCTTTTACATATTGTTTTATTGCTTCTTTAATATCTTTAAATGAACATTTTACCAACAGCAATATTATTATCCAACAATGAATATAAGCAATAATAAAAAAGTAAGCATAAATAATATTATTATTAAATATAGAGAATTTCTTCATACGACTCATATGAATATAATGAAAGTACTCGTATGAATATAATAATTTTAGCTAGGTATTGCTTCAGTTTATAGCATAGGTACTTGGATATTTAGCCATCAGAAGGCATTGGAAACGAAGTTTTTTATAGAAAAATTACGTAAATCTGCTTGTTGGTAAACCTAGCTATTTACTTAGTTTTTATTTAATCCCGTTTTACGAAAATAAGAAACTGTTAGTTCAGTCAAACATCATAATATGATAATAATTTATTAAAGGTAGGTACTTATACTTTATATTGACTGAAGTACTTGCACAAAAACTACAACCTCCATTGCAGCTAATTTACGACGTAAATGTTTGAACATTCACCCGGACAAATAGTCGCCACAATATTCGTCCGGCCGTCAGCTGTTCAAGCACAGCGCAAATAGCGCCCGGACAAATAGTGTCAATTACAATTCGGCCGAACGGCCGGACCAATATACACTCCCAAATAAATTTGGTACCTATTGCAATTGCATTTTTTTTGTAAGGTGTCTTACATTTAAATTATAAAAGCACACACCTTAGAAAAGCACAGATTGCCGCCCACTGTGTGCTAGTGGTCAGAGTTGTTGACTACAAGTCGAGAGGTCGTGGGTTCGAGTCCCACATTGGTATGGTGTTGTCCTATTATGTATACTTAAGTCCTTTAAAGGGGACTTTAAGTCTGCGATCAGTTCCTACCCCTAACCCGCACAAGTTGGCTTCTGGGACTAAAACAGCGCTTTTGTATATAACTTTTTTTGTATAAAATAAAATAAATTTGATATTTCAATTAAAATATCTTGTCCTTAACCCCTTCATCTACCTGTCCTTTAAATTTTAATTGCATTTTGCGCTTTTAATATATTTATGTAAAATTTAAAATATCAAGTCGTTTAGTACCTATTTTTTTGTCGTAGAGGTTATGTAATATCATCCACACCAAAAAGATCCACTTAATATGGGCCAATCGTCAATAATTTAAAACTTGTTCAAATTTTAAAGAGTATACCTAATATTAAACGAAATAATTTTGCTGCAGAAGCTCTTAGTCAAGAAATTTTAAAATTTATGCTTGAGCAAAAATATATTTTTGCTCAAGCATAAATTTTAAAATTTTCATAGCTTCATTATAATATTTTAAACTGGAGCTATACCTTTTTAATCAAGGAATATAATTGTTTTACATATGCCTTTATATTTCGTTTAAACTATTGTGTTTGCCTCATATTATGAGGAAGTGCATTCCAAAACTCGGCTTATCCATATTAGTTGTTTTCGAGCAAAATGTCTAAAACCTTACACGTGAGTACTAACGCATATCAGGCAAACACAATAGTTTAAACGAAATATAAAGGCATAAGTAAAACAATTATATTCCTTGATCAAAAAGGTATAGCTCCAGTTTAAAATAATTTAATATCGCGATAGTCAATTTGTAAATGAATTTTAAATAAAATAAGGTTAGTTTTAGAATATTATGATCTTTTCAGGGTATAGGGGGATACATGTTAAATGTACAGACACCACTAACTCATTTTTATTAAAAAGTGGATAAGCCGAGTTTTGGAATGGACCTCCTCATAAATAATGAAGTTTTCCTACTCCCACCTTTAAAACGCCCATTATCGTATACGATGTTTACATGTTTCCATGACATGACGTTACCTTTTAAATACACATTGAAAAGTTGTGGCTTTATGGCGTTTTAGTCACGGGATAAAGTTTGCAACAGGTTCTTAGTCACGGGCTGAAATATTACTTAGGTACTTAAGTATTAATTTAGACTAGCGGATGGCGATAGTCGGTCATTATTAAGTTGACAGTGTTGCCGGTTTAATCAAGTAATAATTGGACTAGAGGCTAAATGTAGCAAATATTCCTCAAGGTTATGACGAATAGCTGTCATCTTGGTTATGCAGGTACACTGCATTGTGCCATACCAAACCAACCCAAACTTAACAACCCAACCCAACCGACCCCGCCCCATTGGGCCCCTCCCGCCCCATTGAGCAATAGAGGTATAGTATATCTAAGGGCAGGCTGGATTGTGACAATGGGGCGGGAGGGGCCCAATGGGGCGGGGTCGGTTGGGTTGGGTTGTTAAGTTTGGGTTAGTTTGGTATATTAACCTATAATAAAATAAAATTAATTACTCAACGATTTTTGAATTATTTCTAACGTAAATAACAAATTTTTAGTACAAATAATACTTTTATGATTTGATTGAATTATTTACCATTTTGTCGTTTTGTAGGTTAGTTTTAACTTGACGTTTCTTCTATTTTGATTAAACTGGCAACACTGTCAACTTAATAATGACCGACGGTCGCCATCCGCTAGTTTAATTTAGTTCCCTTGCGGCCTAGAGTTTACGGTTTATTCACTGTGAATTCACCGTAAATTCACTGTGAATTCACCGTAAATTCACTCTGAATTCACCGTGAATAAACCGTCTGTTTGTGACATTTGTAAACGGTAGTTAGACGGTGAATTCACGCACTTTTCACAGTATTTTAATTGTAAATCCACCGTATTTTAGCGGTATATTCACGGTGAATTCACGGTAAATTCACGGTGAATAAACCAATAATAATAATAAAATCGACTATAGCAGGCCATTATTCGTTACTGAGCAGATGAGGATGGAGATGGGGACTTCAAACAATTAATGTTTAGCTATGCCATTACAGACGCACACTTCCAACTAAATATTGCAACCCAACGCTATTTATAGTTAGCTCGCTTGCGTAAGCAGCCGTGAGATGTATTGCTTAAACCGCTTAACACAGAAATCGACTAATAAAAAAAACCGCTAATAAATGGCGTCCAACTTGTTGTTTTTTTCTTTATGATGGCGTCTCAATCTCGTTGATTTTGCGCAGCTACACGAGAGCTCTCTTGCGATATTTGTATTGTATTGGGAATAACCAATTAGCAGATTGTTCTTACACTTACAATTTGCGGTGTTTTCACAGTCAATTTACGGTGTTTTCACAGTAAACTCACATCGCTTTTACGGTGAATTCACGGTGATTTCACGATAAATTTACGGTACTTTCACAGTGAATTTGCGGTGATTTTGCAAACTTGAGTTCACCGTGAATTTACCGTGAAATCGCCTTGAATTAACCGTGAAATTACCGTGAATTTATCGCAAAAACAGCGTGAGTTCACCGTTTAATTACCGTCTACAAATGTCACAAATGGACGGTATATTCACTGCACATAAACGGTGTATTCACGGTGAACTCACGCAAACGGTGAATTTACGGTGAATTCACCGTAAACTCAAGGCCGCAAGGGTTTACAGTTGTTTTAAGTAGGTATCTTAATACTCAATATTTGAAAAGTATATATGTTACGCCGAATTTGCGTAATTGCCGATTTCATGTAATAGGCAAAATTTTGCCTAATTCATGAAATCGGCAACGGACTTGCCGATTTCATATAATGGGCAATTATTTTAATTAAGTTTGCCTATTTCAACAAATAGGCACAAAGATAATTTAAAAATTTAAAGTCACATGAGCTTTCAAATATTTTATTACAAAAATAAAAAAATATATAATCTTTCAACATTTTAATACATTCTTTATAAATAAATTAAAGTCACATTTTATTAAAAAATATGTATATTTTCTCTAAACAATAAAACTAAAACTTTATAATTTTTAATATTCAAAAATATCACAGCTTCTTGCAGCATGGCAAAACATTTGGGGCGGGGGTGGCGCAATGGGGCGGGGTAGGTAG